CCAAGTTCTTTGAAATCCAAATCATGTCTATTCTCGAAAAGGATCTATGTCTTTCAGAAAAGTAAGTGTACTCTCTTGAATTGCCATTTTTCTGTCACCATATGTCAACCAGCCCTAATCCATCAAATCAAACTTTTGGTAATTTGCCTTGAGTGATTTTAATATTTTTCTCAGAAGTTCTATCCAGTTGTGGGGAGATCACACAAGCTTTAATAACCTTTTCTCTAATATCTTCACCAGAATCCTCTGGGATTGCTCTGAATCTCAGACAAGATTCTTTCTCTCTCAATTCCAATAGAGTATCTAATTTTCTTTCCAACTTTCTGTCTATAACTTCTGTCTTACTCTCAAAAATTTCCACTTTGTCATTAATTTGTTTTACATCTCCAGATACTTGTTTTTCCAGATACTGTAACATAATTACAGTCAGCATCACAGTCAGCTTCTCCATAGTTATAGCTGGCATCACAGTCTGGCTCATATTATTTTTATCTTTTGTTTTATAAAATCCACCAATTGTCTGCACCCTTTAATAGTAAATGAAAAACTTCTCTGCCACAATGTCAACCCCACTCCTTCAGGGACATCTAGTTTGCCATGAATCCTCACCAGAAGCTCTGTAAAACATTTACAGTTTTCTTAACCTGTGTACTCCAAAATACAATATTTTGTGTTTTCTCACATAATAAATTCTAATCTTATTCTTATACAATCCACTCTTACGCACTTCATATTTTTACATTACCACATTTAATATTTATCTGAACCTTTTTCTTTTTCAGAGCTTAGCAGCTGAAGAATCAGAGCTGCGATTTAGACAATTAACGAAGGAATATCAGGCCCTGCAGAGAGCCTATGCATTATTGCAAGAGCAAACTGGGGGTATAATAGATGCAGAAAGAGAAGCCAAGGTTGGTATTTGCCAAGGTCAACATACCTGTTGCCCAAATACATTCCCTAAAGAAGTCTGTGTGTCTATCTGCCTTTCTGTCTTATTTCTAATTCACTCAAGCAACATGTAGCAAAACTACAAAGATTTCCATGTAGTTGAACAAAAATAACACAGGCCAACGATTTTAAAGTTATAGAGGTTGAAGCATGCTAAGAACTCTGTCACAGAAAAAACATACTTAAAAACACAGTTTAGAGTAGAACAGGGTCTCAAACTCGTATCATCGTGAAAGCTGTAAAAGTACCATTTCATTAGCATGAAGTAGCAACACTGAGTGCCTGTCAGAGGAAAAGAGTGGGCTACAAATACATTTATTTATAAATTTATTTTATTTATTTATTTATAAATCAAACTTGGATGCTGCCCATCTCACTATACAAGTGACTCTAGGCGGCTCATAGAGAATTTGAAATTCAGGAAGTTTGATGAGAACTAAAAGATGGGTTAATGAAGCTACATCTTTTCTTTTTAACAGGCACAGGAGCAACTCCAAGCTGAAGTCCAGAGGTATAGAGCAAAAATAGAAGATCTGGAAAAAACACTGGCCCAGAAAGGACAGGTAGACTCTTTACAAAAGATGTTTTTTCTCCATTATTTTCACAAGTTGTTAGAATTAGTTTGTTATCTAGGAAAGATACATTTTGCATATATGAATCAAGTATCTAAAAGGCTGCCTGTAAACAACTGGAAATAAATATAGAGAAGTATCTATCTGTGTGAGCATACATATGTCCATGTATGAATTGCAGCTACTTTGATGTTTCCAATAATACCTAATAACAATTGTTTCCAATAATTCAGCAGAATTATTGAATTATTTTAGAGTTTTTTCTTTGTGACTGAAGTTTTAATCGTAGTTGTCATTATCACAGTTCAATGGGTTGGATCCATACTTCAGTCATACCAGTAGATTTGATTTTATTCATGAGTAATTTAAATCCATTTAATTTAACAGAACTGATTAACAAAGCCCCGTACACATATAAACACTACTTTATATCTTAATCTTTTTTTTTAAATAAATAGGACTCACACTGGGTAGAAGATAAGCAACTTTTTATTAAGAGGAATCAGGAGCTTTTGGATAAGGTATGTTCACATTTGAATGGTTAGAAAAGGAGTTGCCAGTCCTTTTGTACTGGCGGGCACTTTTGGAATTCTGAATGCATGTTGTGGGGATTCTCACAAGAATAAGAGGTGATGTTTGCCACCTATACACCCTTTCTAATTTCCCAGAATTCTCTCTACTCTTTAGCTTACTTTGCCTTCTTTCTGGAAGGTGGTACCCTTCCAAACAAAGCACTGGGTTACAAACACCCACAATTTCATTTTTGAATAATGTTTCTAAGGCTGAGACCCAGAAGCAAATTGGAGCTATTTGCTTGAGGCTAGTGCTTTGTTCTGCAGCATGCCAACTTCTCTTTTTTTAACTGAAAGAACTTTTTCTTAAAAAGTTGGGGCAGGAATTCTGCTGGGCACAAAGAAGGATATTGCTAGACACATTGGTACTGACAGGTACAATACTGGGGACTCAGAGTAGTTTCCTTGTAATTTGGTTTCCTTGTAATTTCAGTAAACGGTGATCCATGTGTAGAGTGTGTGTGTATATATATATATATATATATATATATATATACACACATATAAAAAACACTGAGTTGGATTAGATTTAGCCATGCTTAAAATAAATCTATTGAAATCTGTTAGTCGTGGCTAACTTCTCCCATTTATTTTAGTAGGTCTGTTCTAAGCAACAGTGAGTTTTGATCCAATCCATTAACTACAAAATTCAAGACTCCAAGAATAAATTAAAGATTTAATAATAATTCAGATTTTTATTGCACCATCCAACCATATGACTGAAAGTATCTTGTAGTCGTATTTTTTATATTTTTGCAGAAAGGCCCTTTAGACACCTCATTTTGCTCAAATGCTAATCCTTATAATATAAATATAAGTATAATAATGTAAAACTTAAAAATAAACTGCAGAATCATCAAAAATAATCTTCAAAATTATTCTTTGATAGTTTACTGTCTTAACCACAAGAAGCAGTGGATTTTCTCAAAGTCCTAAATCAGCACATATGAATCCTTTCATTATGTGCCAAGTTGCTTTTGATGTATGTCTTTCCATTTTTAAAGAGAATTATTCCTTTAGCATATGAATTATAACTTTTGTAGGCTTTATGCTTTCCATAAACAAGCTGATAATAAAATTAAAGTAACTGAATAGCTTGCTTTCTTGGTGATTGAGACTTGTAGGAGGGAGCAGAAACAGCAATGGTCATAAATGTCTAAACATGTATGTCTTGGAATTATTTCCACAAATTATATATTTAGATCTTTTTCTAGATAGAAAAATTGGAAATAGAGAACAATCGACTGCAACAGGAGCTGCAAGATGCCAGAGATCAGAATGAACTCTTGGAGTTTCGAAATCTAGAACTTGAAGTAAGAACTTGTTAATTTTATATTGTGGAACTGGGGAAGATTTTACAGGAGTGAAATCAAATGTTCATCTACATATGAGTATATTTCTTATTTAACAGATTTTATTTTTCTGTTTTGTCTAACTGGAAACAGTAGGCCATGTTCAATATGTTACAAACACCAAGAAGAGAAGAATAAGTTCCAATAATAATTTGTGACAAAAATAACTGATTCAAAATAAGAACATGTAGTATATTAGCCTTATACTTGTTTTTCTTTGAAGAAAAATTAGAAAAATTAGATGAATACATAAGCAAGTTCTACTTATCTCTATTGGTCTCTACTCATAAACAATATCTGTAGACATATATCTTTATATTAGATAAATTAATCTAGAATGCTTATCACAAACACTAATACCAATTTTCTTTTTTGGAATATTTCATAAAATCATTAAAAGCAAATAAACTTGTTTTTACTGTCTCTCAAAGCACTTAATGAAGCATGTATTTATGAGTGCATTCTTGTAGTCATATGTTAATCCAAATATTTTATTTCATATAAATTGACACCTGCCTTCCATGTTTGACTGCATTTTATATTTATAAATCGATTTCTTATAAACCAAAAAGAGATTCACGAATACTAAAGGATGAGAAAACTGAAGCAAGCTTGCATAATCTCTATCTTTTTGGCTGGAGGAATTTAGAGTGTATCACAGGCACTTGGGTCTCAAAACAGCTGCAATGAAATCCAGTGTGGCAAACCAGTGGGCTATAGTGCTTAAGACGTTGGATTAGATTGGGAACACTCAGATTCAGTTCACCACTAGCCATGGAAACACAATGGGTGACTTTGGGCCAGTCACAGTCCCTTAATCTAAACTAACTCACGTGATCATTTGAGAAATAAAATTAAAATGGAATAACATTAGAATGGAAGTGCTATTAAGCTACCTTAAGCTCTCTTAAGGGGAGAAAGGTGGGATATAGATCTAACAAATAAATTATGCATGCCCATTCACAAAATAGCTATATGTAGAAATGTGCACAACATAGGAAAAAAGTTTTTTTTTCTCCAAGTTCATAAATAAACAGCTCTACCTTGGAACCAAAAATGCTTCAAATATTTTGCCACAGGACCACGGGAACTGAAAAAGGTTGCTCACTCTTAGGCAAACATATCTCCCATTCTAAATTTAAACAAAGACAACCCAGCCAGCGGCATGACAACACTTAAAACAATATGGAATGAAATCCCCTAGTTCATCCTGAGCTCAGAGTAAAACCTCAGAAAAATAGGGATATGGGATGTTTTGTTCTGAGTAAAAAAATGCCCAAAACAGGCAAGTCAAGCTCAGAACCTTGGAATGTTTAGGCCCACTGCTACAGTGAGAATAGGGATGACCGATCTCAAAACACCATTCTTACCAAAAGCTAACTATAAAGTGCAACTTGTACTAAAACCTAGGTACATGGCACAGATCTTAACCAACAGAATACTCTTGTTGAATCAACTGTGTTTTGCTCCAAAAGCAAACATATTATACTTTTGAGGGAAAACTTTTGAGGGAGAAAACAAACAAACAAACAAAAAGTATTTTATGTTTTACCTTATATTTTGTTTCAAGGAAAGAGAAAGAAGATCTCCACCTTTTAATCTACAAATCCATCCATTCTCTGATGGTGTAAGTGCTCTACAGATCTACTGTATGAAAGAAGGTGTCAAGGTATGTTAACATGGGCTCACTCAAAATAATGATTATGTTGTCTTTTAGAACTGGTTTTAATTGTGGCATTATTTATCTTGGTAGTTTTCAACACATGGAGGGAGCAGGGGAGAGGGGATCAAATCTTCTGCCCTCTGCTTACAAACATTCAAGATAATGTGTTTATAGAAAACCTATATATGCAATCTACAGTTTGCAACCTCCAGGTAAAATCTAGGCTACATGCATAGAGGACCCTTAAAGGGCAGAGGTTGGCCATGTTGTGATCTTGCTCCCAGTGTTCACTGAAGAGCAGATTATGTTTTTTGCTAACAAAGGATATAGAGCCTATAATTTTGAACACTCTAGTTTGTTGGGGTCAGTCTTACATAATCCATTCCTGAAATGTGTACATGCAAATATAAGGAACAGTTTAAGAATTTACTCCTACTTATTTTGTAATCTGTGCATGGTTGAATTCAGAAAGGCCTTCTGAGTAAATATATAAAAGACTGTAGTGTTTGTGTCTTGTTTGGAAGATAGAAGTATGTAATGCTCCTTGAAGAAAAAGTGGCAATGGAGAATACAGAGCCATGCCAGAATTCTGACTAAAGTTCTATGTTAGGCTAGCATTGTCTAGTCTGGATTGCAGAAAGCATTTGATACCATTCAGAGTGGAAAATTTGATTACCAACAAATATATAGTGTGGACTGAACATTAGATAATATGAATAAGTTAGATGTTTTTGCTACAAGTCTTACAGTTGCAAAGAAATGCTTAAGAATCAGTCCAGATATTTTTCTTCCTCCTCAACATTAGATTGTCTATAAATTAGGCCTGTCACCCAGATACTGTTACTTCTTGACTTCTTTTCTTTTGCTGCTACCCCATGTAAATGGCCTCCTAAAGTCCCCTCCCCCCTCCCCCCATGGCTTTGGACCTATTCTGCTCCTTCACTTAGGAAATACTGAGTAAGGTTGTAGATCACCAAGTCCATATCATAAAATAAATAATAAATTTAATTTTTTAAAATTTTTGATGTTTTATGTATTTATATGTATTTATGGTTTTATTGTTTTGTGTGAGTCGCCCAGAGTCCCCCACTGGGGGGAGATGGGCAGGGGAGAAATTAAAATAAATAAACAAACAAATAAATAAATAAATAAATAGTGCTTGTGAAAGTATTTGATCCTTCTTTTCTGAATTTTACCATCTCTTTTTATAGGATGTTAGCATTCCAGACCTTATAAAGCAGTTAGACATCTTGGGTGACAATGGGGTAAGTGATATGAATAGCTAACAACTTCTTATTATGTATAGCACCATCAGGAAAATGTTGCAGAATAAATATTGCAGAATAAAAGATCAATCAAAGCAAATGAATTTCATTCATTATCCCCCCTCATTATCCCCCATTTTCATAAATAAAAAGCCTCCAGTGTTTGAATATCAAAAAGCTAGACCCCTTATCTCTTAATGGCTAATAAGATATTTCCATAGTATCTGTGAAACTTTTAAAGTAAAAAAATTAAGATCTTAATGTAATAAAATAGACTAGAGGGCTCCAAGTTGAGAAAGGCTAGGCTTAATTCTTTGAATGTTGTTTTTTAAATTTTTTGTCTAGAAGATCACATACTGTATATTATCAGTTTATAAAGATTAGTTTTAATTAAAGAAGTTAAATTTAGATTATTTTTATCCTGACGCTCAAACTGTGGTCGTTGGCTATCATTTTAAGCATTCCTGACTTTTGATAGAAGGAAACGGGTCATGGTAAAATATATATGCAAACTCTATGCCTGCAGATTTCCCATTCATCTGAATGGAAAATATATATTTTTCCAGCTCTTGACGTACAAAAAGCTGTTTCTTCTATTTAAGCAGCACCTCCATTATGATAGGTATTTATACTTTAAAAATAAAAATCAGCAGCTGTGTGCTGCAAGGGTTGCGGCAGTAACATTAAAACCACAGCCCTGAGGTTTTTGGCTTGATTTTTCTCTCTTTATGCTTCTTATTTTAAAAATTAAACTAGACAACCTGTGACCCATTGGGTTATCATTCCAAAGATATTTCCTTACCTAAACAGAGAAACAGAATGACCAAGGGCAAAAAAGCAGTGGGAGTGTGAGCAACTTGCGACTTGCTACTGGCTTCCCCATTGACTTTGCCTGTGGGAAGCTGGTAGAGAGTGTCAAAAATCTTCCTTCCTTCCTTCCTTCCTTCCTTCCTTCCTTCCTTCCTTCCTTCCTTC